ACCCTTAAACTCCAATTTTAAGTCAGCCAATTGTGAGAACCAAGCCTCCAAAGTAGGTACCTCGACACTGTTCCAACACTCAACCAAATTCTGCCTCTTTTCTTTCCAACCTTGATAGCTTTTTTGGCAAGTAATTGTGACTTGTAGAAGTGGTCAATTTGGATCATATAAAAAACAATCCCCAATAAACATTTCACTCATGCTGTCATGCATGACTGACGCACGGGTAAGTAGATAACGGATTAAACTGACAATTATATAATTCATACTCATGAATTCAATTCAATCCAATTCAATTTATTTATTAAATTATTCATTTAATTTGATTAATTTAAATTCAATTTATTTTATCCAAATTCAATAAGGAGATCATTTTGGAGTGTTAGTCAGTCGGTTTTGGTTTAACCGATAACTGAGAAAACCGATTTTCGGTTTTCTCAGTTATCGGTTAAACCGAGCCACCACTTTCTGCTGCCGACCACCGACCGTGAGGGACACCATGGCTAGCCGACCACCGACGTTGGGTTATCGATTTTGGTTAGGTTAGCCGCATACCCGAAAAACACTCCCTTCTCTCCAAAAAATTCATTAAAATTATTTTAAAAAAATGAAAACCCCCCACCACTGAATCCTTATCTCCTTCTCTCTTCTTCCCCCCAGGCCACCACTCATTGCTTCTTCCATTTATCTGGACACCACGACCACAGAGGAGAAGTAGAGGCACAACGCGGCGGACATCGGGGCATAGCGGTTGACGATTCGAGGAGGAAAAGCAGGGGGTCGCGCACGTGAACGACGGAGTGGAGGGCTAGGGTCGTCGCCGGGGTCGGAGGGTGGAGATGCAGAGGTCGACGGGGGGCGAGAGGCGGAACGGAGGGCAGAGGTCGTCGTCGGACGCGGAGGGTGGAGGCGGGAGGGGAGACATGGATGGTGGAGGAGGGATAAAGTTTCGTTTTTGGGGGGAGGGGGTTGCTGGGAATAAGTCTTTTTACTTTTCGGGGAAGGGTTCTGGGAATTGGTCCATTACAGGGAGTGGTTGTGATGAATTTCACTATTCTGATTTGAGGGTTTCCCTTTCTTTGAAGGGTTTTCTTTTGAGATTTTTCCAAAAATAGCACTGTTTAAAAAAACAATTCCAAAAATAGCATCCAACTCCGAAAAATTTCAAAAATAGCACCATTTTTGTAAAACCGCCACCCGGAGGTGCGTTTTTCGATGAAAACGCCACCCGAGGGCGCATTTTTCGATGAAAACGCCACCCGAGGGCGCGTTTTTCGATGAAAACCGCACTGGTAGGGAGCGGTTTTGCAGACCGCACCCCCAGGGTGCGTTTTGGTTGCAAATCGCACCCCCAGGGTGCGTTCTGCGTTTTTTTTTTTTTTTTTAGAAAAATCCTAACTTAGGTGGAAACTTCAAATGAACGTATCTTTATGTTCGGGTATCCGATCGTCGCGATTTTTTTTTTATTCCGCATAACTTTTTGAGATCTTGCAAGCCGAAGACTGCCAAAGGTGGTTTGGTCTCGCCTTCGTCCCAAAAAATGTCGTTTGCTACCCCGACTACCATTATATCTATAAAATCACTATTAATAAACCGCTATACTACTATAACAAAATCACGACTATGGAGAATCCTCCACTTTCTATATCCTTGATAAAAACAACTCCATAATCTCTTACCTTGCACTCTTGTGATTTCACGAGTCCAAATCTGCCAACAAAAACAAAGCTAAAAAAAATCACTACTTCACCATTTAAAACAGTACTAGTGTAAAATAAAATTGCTAAGCCATCAAATGAACAAAGCAAAAAACCTTGAAGAACAACTACCCGTAAAATATAAAAGAGCCTAGACTTCGTAGTTCAACTTGCATGAGATTCTTGTGGAGGAGATCGATCGATGGATGGAACTGGGAAAAAAGGAGTCTTGTTGGAAGATGATTGGGGACATGGGAGAGAGATCTGCACTCAGCGACACTGCAGGTGAGAATCGTGGCGGCCAGAGGTGGCAAATGGATTGGATTGGTGGATTGGATTGGTGGATCTATGAATCAAATAGATTGGATCTAATGGATTGGTGGATTCATGGATTGGATCAAGTGGATTGGTGGATTATCCATGAATCCAAATGACATCCTCAACCAAGGACCAATATGTAAAATGTAAAAAGTTTAGGTACTAAAATGTCACAATGAAAATAGGTACCAAAACGTAATTTTCCAATGATATTTTTCGTATAAAAAATTAAATTTTAGGTACCAAAATGTAAAAAATAAAAATTATAGGTACTAAACCATAATTTGCCACTAATCCATGGATCCAATCCATGAATCCACCAATCCAATTTGATTTGGATCAAATGGATTGGATTTAAATGGATTGAATTAGGTGGATATTTTTAATGGATTGATGGATTGGATTGAAATTGCCACCTCTAATGGCGGTGCAAAGAAGGCTTCGAGATTGCGGTGACGGACAAGAACGACGTCGACGAGAGCAGCAACCTGTATGTGGGAGTCGCGGCCGATGATGGCAGCCATGACATAGTGGTGACTGGAATCGAATCTCTCGGAAAGAGAAATGTGTAGAGGAAATTGGAGAAGAAAAAGGGGCGGAAATCAAAAATAGAAATATAGGGGAAAGGAGGAGAGTGGTTGCTTTATTTCACCATCAAATCCGCACACGTTATCGAGGAGCTTATGGGTTTGGTCCAACGGTGAATGATTGAAGGTGGCTTAGGCTACTTCCACTGCTCTCCGTTTGGGTTGGTTTGCTTCGGTTACCTTGTTCGGCGTTCATCTCAGCTTGTCGCCCCTGGGGTTTCGATCGGTGGAGGGAGCTGTTGTGCAGAGGCGCAGCCAGCGGTAGTTCCCTAGGGCTGCAATCAAGTGCAAGCTTATCCAAAATACCCTTGACGACTAACTACCATTGGATTTAGGGCTGGAGATCGGGTTGGGTTCTAGTACCCGGACCCAAAAAACGTCAGTTTGAGGAACCAGACCCGACCCAGACTCGATTCTTGGGTACCCGAGACCCAAAGCCACGGTTCTCGGGTATGGTTCGGTCACCCGAATACCCATCAGCCACCGAAGACAACCTGTTACAGCAGCTTTATTGAAGAAAAAAACAGACATGAAGAAACTAGAATCTGGAAAAACTAAACATACACCTGAAAAAAAAGTTACATAACAAACACAACCAAGTCAATTCATCATCAGTTCACCATCTTAGTTCAACAAGGGAAGTAGAAAACCCCAAATTAAAAGTTTCAACAGCAAACACATTTTGACGAGGACCAGCGGCGGCTACGGTCGGAGGAGGAGGACGCGCGCCGGCGAAAAAACTTGCAGATGGATGTACACTTCCAATAGATGATTCACCTCTCTTCTTCGATCTCTTCTTAGCCTTCCCTGCGACATGTAAAGGATCAGGGGTTGCTGCTGATTCGTCTCTCTTCCTCCCACCTGCTCGTTCCATGATTGTTTAAGGATATGACAGTCGGCGATTTGGTGGTGGAAGCCGCGGAAGGAAAGGAAGGAAGGTTTTTGTCTGCGTCTCTGCGAGAGGGAAGTGGGGAGTGGCCGCTGGGAGCTGGGGAACGAAAATGGGAAGGGGAAGATTTCGCTGTCTGCGCTGGAGCTTAGGGTTAGCGGCTGTCGGGCTGAGGGGGGCCGAGGGCCTGAAGGCTGGGCAGTGGGCTGGGCCTCAATGAATATTTGGCATGTGGGCTGGGGATCGGTTCCACTTCGGGTCCTTTTATTTTCGGGTCCGGGTTCGGTTTACCCAAAACCCGAAAAATAGCCACATGCGATACCGAGACCCATTTTTCACTATGATATTTTGGTTCCCGGGTACCCAAAACCCGGGAATTTAGGTCCGATTCCGGGTTACCCATAAAACCAAACCCGAACGTCCAGCCCTAATTGGATTGACTAAATAATGAATGAAGATGGAAAGGATTAGCAGTAGCACAGTGCTAACCTATTATACAGTTAGCATCCCATCCTAACTTACAGCCTTTGTCATACAAGTCCATGCCTTCTCCTAAATCAAGATTAATAAACGGCTTAATGACATAAATGGTCATTATGCTTTGTCCTTAACAACAAATTGGTAATGGAGGTTTGATATAACTGTGACAACTATCACTCTTTCCATATTGGCCACAGTATTTTGTTGTCTAAATTGTCCATTTTAGTATGTCAATTCTTTAAAACTAAATTAAATTAAATGAGTCACTTGGTAGACACTTCAATTTTAGTTGCACGTGTGAGGGAGCAAAGGATTCGAATGACTTTGGTAAAGTAAGTTGCAATTGACTCGAATAACATATAAGAATGAGTACGAGCATGATTTTTCCATATACGAATAATTAGGTATTTGTTTGCCCTGGCCATCATCAAATATCAAGTTGTATAAATTGACCAACTAATATCAGATGCAAGAAGAGTACCAACTTCATCGACGATTAATTGCCACGTACTTTATTTCTCCATTCCCTCGGACTCCACGGAGTTAAGAAGGCGAAATAGGAGTCAAGTGATTCACACTCCATTCATCCCGGGTCCCTTATCTTATTTATAGATTGCCCTTCAATCGTACACATTCCGACGACTGGCCGAGCGAATAAGTAAGTTTTAAAGTGAATTTGTTGTGCGAAAAGTGTGTTATGACCAGTGGGGGCGGTTCATCCGTACTTTTGAGTAAACGGTATATCCAACTCTACGAACCCGATGAAAGGCTGTACAACAGTAGATAGACAGGGGAGCTAATAAAATGGAAATACGAAATATTAATGAGTATTATGTCATTTGCTGCAAGCTTTGGTGACAAGTTTGTTAAAATGGAAAATTCTGCTACCATTTATACAGTTGACCCGAGCCAAACACACCCATGACACATCCATTAAAGGCCAGACTCAACGAAAAGCTTCTCAGAGCCAAAAGTTTTTTAAACGACCTCTTCGGACGGTCGTCTTCAATTTCATCGCAAATATTCGCAATGCGCCATTGCAGTAGTACATCAATGGAGTCCAATCTCTCTGCCTCCCTCGGCCTCCCAACGCCAGACCACCACCGTGAAATGGCCGTTGATTTCCCGAATCTCTTCCCCCAATTCTCCTCCCTGCTCATTTCCCACCAAAACCCACAAAAACCCATCCCTAGAACTAGAACCCTCCCTTTCGCCTCCAGTTCCATCTCCTTATCCACATCCCAACAACAACCCTCCCACCACCGAACCGCCCTCACCACCCCCTCCAACCTCAAATCCCTAATCAGCAACCTCTCCGTCTTCGAGCGAGCCCTCATCGGAGCCGGCGGGGGCGGACTCGCCGGCGCCTTCACCTACTTCTGCCTCCTCCCTCTCGACGCCGTCAAGACCAAGCTCCAGACCAAGGGAGCCTCCCAGATCTACGCCGGAACCCTCGACGCCGTCGTCAAGACCTTCCACGAGAAGGGCATCCTAGGGTTCTACCGCGGCGCCTCCGCCGTAATCGTTGGATCCGCTGCCTCCTCCGCGGTCTACTTCGGCACATGTGAGTTCGGCAAATCGATTCTCTCCAAGCTCGATGACTTCCCTCCCCTGCTCATCCCTCCCACCGCCGGGGCAATGGGCAACATCGTCTCCTCTGCAATCATGGTCCCTAAAGAACTAATCACTCAGCGGATGCAGGCGGGAGCAAAGGGGAGGTCGTGGGAAGTTCTGGTGAAGATTCTGGAGAAGGACGGCGTATTGGGTCTTTACGCCGGTTACTCGGCCACATTGCTTCGCAATTTACCTGCTGGGGTGTTGAGTTACTCCTCGTTCGAGTACTTGAAAGCTGCGGTGTTGAGCAAGGCCAAGAAGGCGCAATTGCAGCCAATTGAGAGCGTGGTCTGTGGAGCATTGGCAGGGGCGATCTCGGCTTCTTTGACAACTCCACTTGATGTTGTGAAGACGAGGTTGATGACTCAGATGAGCAGAGAAGCCATGGGAGGGGTTGGGGACACCGTGAAGCAGATTCTGATGGAGGAAGGGTGGGTTGGATTCACAAGGGGAATGGGTCCGAGAGTGCTTCACAGTGCTTGCTTCTCGGCAATTGGATATTTTGCATTCGAGACTGCTAGGCTCGCGATATTGGATCGGTATTTGAAGCACAAGGAGTTGCAGCAGGAATTGGATGCTGTTGTTCCAACTTGAAAGTGAAGTTTTGTTCTTGATGGTGATCAATTCTTACCCTTTTCTTTATGTATTGTAAAGTTGATCCCTTTGATGTTTGTTGTTTCTTACTTTGCAATGGTTGTGTATAGGACTAAAGAATGTGCGGCTATATATCTCTCCATCTATCTATGAGATTTCTGCGTAAACTATGTATGAAGCATTTTTTGTTTTGAGTGGTAATGGTAGAGTAGTATGAAACTATAAGTGAGCTAAATTCAGCAGTTGAATAAAATTCTTGTCATCTCGTGTTATCGATAGCGAATTGATGACGTTTTCCTCCGAAGTGGTCATGTTGTTCTGAGGTGCCAACTGTGAAGTATTCACTAGAACTTTGACATGGCTTTCCTAAAAGATGTATCAAAATTCTTGCCATTGATCAAAGTGGACGATGTCAACACATTATGTTATGGACCCATATTTGTCTATGAGTGGATGGCTTTCTTCAGACACGCTGCTCCTTGATACAGACAAGAAGACATTGTGTCTGTCGGTAAGATTGTCGTGTTAGCCTGTCATGCTAAGGTGTGCTCTGGTTGCAGCTCTGAAGCAAGTACAATGCAACTGTGTTACAGCGAGATACTGGATTACTGGGTTGAGCTTTAAGGAAACACGTTTCAACTCCTGCAGATATTGAGGGCTGCTGATCTGTGACTTTTAGAGGCTTGGAGGGACAGGGAGAAGGGATGCGATGAACTGGAAAGAACAGGGTCGTAATCGCTCACAACCTCTCGGCATTCACCTCTGGAATTCGCTTGATATAAGCGAATCTGGGTACTGGAGTCGAGCAAGTGTGGTCTCCTTCACGGTGGAGACTTTTGACTCCAGGTTGTACATCAATTTCCTCCCTGGAGTTGGAAACTCTTCCTTTAGCTCCTCTTCTCTCATTGCCGCGTTCAGGGTACCACTATAGTTTCAGCTCACCCAGATTGAGTACCATTCAGTGATTCCGATATTTGTATCATGTCGGCATTTTAATTTTTCATTATGGAACTTATAACGATCCGGCAGACACAATGGAAGAATGATCGATCCATGTGAATTGTGAAAGTAAAACACTTGAGATTGAGAATGCCTCGTTAGTTCAATATGCTCCACTCATAACCTGTTCCTGTGTTTATAAATGGTAAATGAATCAAGGAAGGGTTTTAGAGAGAACGAAAAGAGGAGTTCCGGTTCCTTGGGGTAATAAACATGGTTGTCAACCCGGTTATGACCTGGCCAGTCAGAACCGATTCAATCCGGACTAACGAGTCTGGGCAGCAACTCCAGTACCTTGTCATTTTGATTATGATAATAATCACGTTGCAGTCACACATGCACGCACAGAACAGAAAAGCCACAAATCCCTAGCTCGCTTTGTTTTGTTCGCACGACCCATTTCACTCCCTCCTCCAGAACACGCAGTGCCGCCGTGTTGCTTCACCTTTCTCCTTCGGGGCTGGTAAGCGACAATTCCACACCCATATTCTATGACTAGTCACAGTCCCGGCAAATCAGCCGGATTCATTTGTCAATCACGTAAATAATAGTGATTTTTTGTATTCGAATAACACATTGGTATAAGATAATCTAAGTTCTTCAAATACTTAAAACGTTCGAATCGATTTGGGGAATAAGAGAATCCAAATTATTGAATTAGTTCAACAATCCAAAAGGATCAACATCACATTTTTTCTACATTTAATGACCAATGGACTAAAACTCTTTTACTAAAATGAAAGAAAAATCTCATGCAAGAGAATCGACTCCTAACGACCAATTAAAATGATTTTTCTAATTACTCTTCATCGTCAGAGATTACTGCATGTTTTCTTTCTGGCTTGATTGCATTGCCTCCGACATGAGCAACAACCTCATTGTCAAATATTAGTAATGTCTTCATCTCCATTACATACACATTTATCTCCAATATCAATTGACTCTTCCTTCTTATCTTGCATTTCAATGATCTCTTTCTTATTTTCAAGCATTTCAAATATCTCTTCCTTCTCTCTCCTGATGTTTTTCCTCTGCCTTCTCTCTAACCCATCTTCCCAGGCAGCCATGGGGGCTGCCGCTAGCACCCTTCCGGCGACCAGCGGCAGCCCTCCGCCCCCTCATTTCTTTTTTATACTTTCTCACTCTCTTTGCCTTCTCATTAAGTTTGTTCCTGCCATGTTTTTGCTTGGACTTTTCTCGATTTAGTCGGTTTTCACTTTCCCCTTGGTGGGATCTGTTCCTCCCCTTCAGTGGGTTGAGTTTTTGTCCTCCGTTCTGTTGTTTCAGATCTGGAGAGGTGTCCAATCTAAGTTGCAAAATGGTGGCCAGATCTATCACAGATCTGGCTTGTTTTCTCCTCTTCTTTCCTTTGTCTACCTCCACATTTTCCCTTGCAGATATTTGGAATTCGGAGATGGAGCCCTTGGCGAGGACACGGTCTGGAGAGCTTTGAAAGAAGAAGATTTCTTCCCTCTGGGTGCTTCACCGGTCGTCGTTCGTTCTGATGGGTTCCCCCGCATTTGGATGGCGGAAGCTGATGGCGATTGGCTGGGGCGGGTTGCATGGGAGGCCCTCTTCCTCTCCCTGCCAGTTCGGGTTTGGTGGATTCTCCTCCCGTTTTGACGAGAGTTGGCGGTGGCTGGTGGGGGTCAACGCTGCTGTCAATTTCAAGTGGTGGTAGTGAGTCGGCTGCGGCGGTAGATGCGTCCAGAGGGAAGCGGACGCTCAACTAGGGTTGGTGGGGTTTTGACAATGTTTGGGTTCTTGGACCGGGCCCTATTGGGTATTTTTATTTTGACAAAAGATAATCATGTATTGATTGAAACAAATAGATCATTACATCCGGGAATTTAGCCAGACCTGAAAATCAAAGGAACGACATGTAGTCGGGAACAAAGACATGGCCTTTCTAGCCACCAAGTGAGCTACCCTATTGTTTCGTCGACCTACAAATCGTACATTAAAGCCCATGTTTACAGCAAGAGAGTGGACTATTTCTTCCAGAATCGCCCCTATTCGATTATCCCGCACATAAGCGCATCATTCCGGAGAATCTTCTCAATAATCACCTGGGCATCACCTTCAAACCTCATCTCAGTAAATCCAAATTCCAAGCACCATGCGATAGTCTCCCTAAGAACAAGAGCTTCAACCATCAGTGGATCGTCAAGCACCCGAAATTGAATCCCCTTAGCCAGGATGACCGCTCTATCAGAGTTGAGTATAACCATTCCCCCAGCCGCGTGCGGCCCACTCCTCACCGCCCCATCCCACATGCAAATTGCCACATTAGGCCCTTCTGGGTTTAGAGGAGAAGCAGGGTGACGCGGTAGCTGGTCGAGCCGGTCCCTTGGTAAGCTAATCCATTCCTGAACTTTTTGGTGGAATTGCCGCATCAAGGCGGGGATCCCAAACTGCTTGCCCTCAAAGACCACCCATTTCGAGATCTCCAAATCCGCCATAGAACAGCAATTACTGACATAACCATCGTAGGATGATGTACTATACCCAACAAATTCTTCAGGAAGAGCGGGAACGTATGGCGAGGCAACCCTTCTCCCAGGTGGGCGAGCCCAGAATGATCCCACAAGGCACGAGCAACCGGGCAATCCAAGAACATATGTTCAAGAGTTTCCGAAGGCGCCCAACACACCGGACAACGAGGTAAAACCTCAACATTCTTCTCAATCAGCGCTTCCGTAGTAGGAAGAATTCTATGGAAAATTTGTCAGGCAAACACCCTGAGTTTCGGAGGGATATTAGCCTCCCACAGCCGAATCCAACTCGCCTTATCCATCCAACTAGACATGGCCCTCCATTGTCCATTCTGACGATCCAGATTGACCGCAACATAATAGGCGGATTTTACTGTGAAGACACCATCAGAAGTTGGATGTCATATCAATTTATCCTCAATATTTTGGCATGGCAAAGGGATGGCCTTGATGGCTCTGCAGGTCAATGGATGAAACCACTGGCTTAGTTTTCGATCATTCCATCTGCCCTCCCCCTGCTGGATAACCTCATCCACCGTCAAACCCTCTCCCTCAGGAATCACACAAGGATTGTACAGAGGGTGAAGGGGTGCTGCTGAGGAATCCACCTGGACGTGACCGGGCCCTATTGGGTATCCAGTTCTCTTTTGGACCTTTTTGTCTTGGTTCTGTTTACTCTTATTTCCATCTGTATCTTTACCGTTGGGCTTGGCCCGTTTTGCGATCTTAATGAACTCGTTTAAAAAAAAAATCAACAAATTCAGATTGTCCAAAACTCTGCTACACTTTCCTCATCAGACAATGTGGTGAGGTGAGTGGTGACATCCCTCATAATTTGAGCAATTAAATCAAAACAGCTGCTTCTGGATCCACTAATTTTACCTTTTCATGTTTACTTGAATTAACATTTTATGTAAAGGGTAATTGTACTTATATAAGATTCATGTAATTTGTTTCTGTTTTTGTTATATAATAAGAAGTTCCATACAAAATTTATTTAACGAGACTTAAATTTTAAACAATATAACAATTATTGAAAAAACTTGGAAATAAACTAATAAATTAGGAGATTTTATTTTCTGGGTTCGTACTTAACAAAGAGTCCAAAAAGCTCATGCTCTATTTTTTACGTAGGAATTTTTTATTATTATTAAAATATTTTTAATTTGAAAAGGCAAAATAGTCCTTTCTATAATCATTCAATTTAATCTTACAGAAGAGTTTCTTCACAAAAAAAATCTTACAGGTGAGCACAGTAATTTTAATAGTATATATAGAGTAATTTAATGAGGATATTAAAAATTTAAGAGATGAATAACCAATCTTGATTTGTTGCAAAATTCGACTTTTATGCGTGCATGAAATTGCAACAATAGGTATCTGTTATAAGGAGCAACAAATCGATTATCTAGTGAGACTCCATTCACGATATACAATTTGTTGTTCTCTCGGGTGCGGATATCTAGCAAAACCATTCCCATCAATAGTTGTTTGGCTGCAGAATTTCTTCGATAAATATTTAGAGAGATGCACCATTAGTTGTACATGAAACTTTAGATCCTTGAAAATCACATGGACCATGAAAAGTTGATTTTGCAACTGCATCATAACATTCAAAATTTGCTTTACTATCTGAGATTTCAGAGAATTTAACTAAATCTATTTATGAAGGACTATATAATTTATCTTCTGCAGCAAGGAAAACTAATAAACGAGTATGAGTAAGGCACATTTTTTCAATTCAATGGTCATTACATATGCAATAAAAATTATCTTATAATTAAAATGGTAAAATAATAGTTAGGAAAAAAAATAATGAACCATGGATGCTTAAAGTAAAATTATTGAATCAATATCTATGTCTATATTTATATAATATAATATAATATAATATAAGACTTTTCCAATTTACAACCTCATGGATTCAGATTCAAGAGTTTTTACGCAGCCACGTCACCATCACTTACGACCAATCAAAAAAATTTATTAACTCTTATAGTGTATACCACCTAGCACACACTTTTTCTTCTTTTTGAATTCTCCTACTATTCTTAATCAATCTGTATTTGTTTCTTTTTAAATCCAAATTTAGATATTTTGAGCCACTAAATCTCCCCTAAATATTTTTTTGGTATTTGATACTTCTATTTTCATACTTTATTTATTTTAATTCGAGTTCAATAATTAATTTTATTTATATTTATCTTATAAAAGGAGAATACTTTTAAAATAGCAAGCCTTATATCATTGGTACAAATATTGCACATCGAATTGCAATATTGAATGTGTAGAAGCGATGCAGAATTTTTGACATAGACTTAAATAATATAACTACCATAAAACAACAATATTTTTGAACATAGAGGTTTTCAGTGAATATGGAGCACATGTGTCTTTAAGAGGAGTAAATATAGAAAGGTTGAGTGATGTTGGTTTGTCGAATGCAGATTGATAAGGGGCAACTAATGTAAACAGGTCTAAATGGTGTCCCAACCTACTAAACGCTTAACCATTGTCGTCTCTCCAAACCTTCCCATCGGAGTCGACAACCGCATAACCTCCTCTACTTATATTGTTACGCAAAAAGAAATTTTTGGAGGAGTAAATATGGAAAGGTTTAGTGTTCTTGCTTGGAGAGCTGACTGGTGGGTTATGTAGCTTCTTTGACAGTAATGTGTGATCTCTTAACATCAGTTCATTTGGTTGATCGTCTAGGTTGACTTTTGAGTTAATTAAAGATAAACAGTGTCCTAGGCTCCCCGCCTACTAAACGCTCAACCATTGGCGTCTCTCCAAACCTTCCCATAGGACTCGACAACCGCCTAACTCCTTCCTTATATTGTTACACAAAGCAATTTTCGGAAGGGTAAATATTGAAAGGTTGAGTGTTCTTGCTTGGAGAGCTGACTAATGGGTTATTTATTTCTTTGACAATATGTGATCTCATAACATCAGTTCATTTGGTTGATCTTCTTGGTTAACTTTTGAGTTGATTAAAGATACATAGCTATACTTTTGGTTTCTTTTGTTATGATACTCCTTTTCAGTATCATCATTTTTCTAATTCGAAATGTTTTGTGGTTAGTTTCCAGTAAAAAAGACTATTATGATTAATGTTAACATAGGGAATAGCTTCAATCATACCACTTTTACACAAAATTTATATGTAAGAGCTGAGATCATTAGCCGAATTGACCTATTCAAGCTATAATGGTGATCTTCAACATATAAAACATGGTTTCTCTTTGAGTGGAATAACCTCATGATTGAAGATATGTTTTTACATATGATGTTTTGTGATTGTGGTCACTTGCTTCAAGATTTAAAAGTGGGGTTCTAATTACTACGATATAAAAAGTATGAGTGATATCGATAATTGAAGTAGATACAATATGATTTGATATCCTTCTCTCTGCAAGGAATAAATACATGGTGAGAATATGTTGTCATGGGAAGGACAACCGGACTCTTTGTGTTTGTAGTATAGCATGTTTGATATATACACATGTCTAGACTCCGGATCGATTGCATCGATTGGACATCTCCACCTGGAATTTATTGACAGGATTTTTGCTTATCCAAACCGCGTGCCAAGTAAGCTCCTCCTTAATCCTTATATTTTTTCTTAATTTGCACATGCACACCCTCATAGGAAACATGTACAGAATTGTAATTTGGGTGCTTCATTAGTGTTGTTTCCATAAGATTGCATTATCTGAGGTGGTTGTTCTAGAATTGGAAATCGTGATTGTATATCCTCTAAGAAATTTTCAAGTTAAGCTATAAAAGAGGCTAACCTGAGCTTCCTCTTTAATTTAGTTGGTAAGAGAGCAATGATCCACGTCAAATTGATTGGGCATTGACAATGTCTAATAAACATTTAGCATTCTTCAGAGTATCACAAGATCCTGATAGTATCTCAACCAAATCAATTTTTGTTTTCATGCCTGATGTTGATACAAGTTGTTAACCTAGAGAAGAGCCCCAACAAGTTAGCTCTTGGAGTTGCGATGCGAAAATGGGTAAGACAGAAATGGTTTATACAAAAGGCCATACTATGTTCATATAAAATGCGTTAGAAGAGATAGTCATCAATATCATTTTATTGACGAAGCCACCGAGGATAATAGAGGAATCGCCATTGGTACTCTAAATTTTACAATGTTATTATAATGATCATTCCTTTCATTTCATGTAAATTTGTGTTATGACTGAAGTGATATTACCCCAAGACATAAATTGCAGCAAGGAATGGTCGTTTGAATTAATGTGCACCGATGCAAAATGTCATGTAACTGTCATGAAGGAGTAAGAGTGGGCCAAT